TCAATGGKTTTTTTTTAAGGTTTTATGCTCTGTGTACAACTGTGTCTATGTTTATTTGATCTATTATTTTTATATAGTTGTTTGACACTTCTTTATGAAAAAGAATAAAAGATGTGAGGCTGATCCATGTTGTCAAATTTTTATCATGTCCAAACATTTTATGGTTCTGTATGTTTCAGATCAAAGTAAACTAGGTTATCTTTTTGCTTGTTTGATTTAATCTGACCAAAAATAACTCTATTTTAGAATACTTCTTACATGTGCAGATGTTTGGCAAAAGGAAGTGAGAAGCTTAATTGTTCCTTTTTAGCACAATATTTGTTCTCTTAAGAATATTTTTGGATGGATAGTTTTGTTTTCAGAATTTGGTTGTGAAATATACACAGGAGATCCTATACTTGTACATTTATAAAACAACTAATAATCTAGTTTGAGGAAAAATCATAGTAAATAAAGTTAATTTGATTTTTTTTTAATTATATAAACTGGAAGCTATATTTTTAATATGAATTCATAGTTACAGTACTGCCTTTGGTTCCAGCCAGCAGTTTCTTTATTTTGTTTGTTTATTATAACTTAATATTTTATGGCTGTGCTGTTCCAGCCCTCAGTTCATGCTAGCAGACGGTCTCGTGCTGTAATTCAGTCATTGCAGTCCAAAAGGATAATGGTAGCAGTGAACTTGAATAATTTTTCTCTATAGATTGTTACTGAAGTTTTAAATATTTCTGGATCACTTTGTTTGCAGAACATGTTTGCTTTATCTTTTTATTTAGATCTATACAATATCTAGTGCATTAAATTATGTAAACTGGGAATATACATGGAGCTGGCTAGAGATTCAATACATTTCCTTATTGTGGACAGGAAGGTATTTCAGGAGACAGTGTTTYCCCAGGGCCTGAGTTGACCCCTTTTGGCTGTATCCGACTTCTAGTGCAACTTGTGTCGGCCTTCATGCATTTTGCTCCCACCTGTACACGAGCAAACATACAGCTTTTCATTTGATGTGAAAATACATGGGTCCCGAGTGCAGGAAAAGCTCCTGGAGACTGAAGCTCTTAGTTGGCCCTGCATTAGGTAGCCTTGTTCAGTTTATCACATGCAGAAACATTTCTAAAATACCTTATTTATAAAGAAAGTGTCTGTGACTGTTCAGCTAGGGGGAAATATGTCACTTCCTTTTAGATCCAAGAAAGCTCTAGTCTGGTGGGAGTGCAAGAAAAGAAACGGCAAATAGATTGACTTGCACCTCCAAGAAAAACCATTAGGAATAAAAATGTTGCCCAGTGCCCCGCTGTCCCTTGCGAGAGACAGGGAGCCGGGTGGGAGAGATACTGAGTGAGCGTCGTTGCGAGCAAGCCTGGCACCCGATGGTTTGCCCGCTTCTGTCACGGTCCTGAAAAATGCATTCTGCTCTCAAATGGCAATGCAAGAGTTTATTTCTAACCTATACATTGGTTAGTAAGGAAATATTTATATTAAAGATTTCTGTGGACCATCAACATTTCACAAGCTTTATAGGGAGTTTGCGTTTGGACCGGTTTCCTCGGCAATTCCCCGCACCCTAAAGCCTGTCAGTGTTGTAGGAGCGTTTCGTCTGTCGAGTTTACCTGTCTCGTGTGAATGGAGACTGCAGTCTGCATTCTGACATGAGAAAATCATACTCAGTTGTTACATATCTGTCTCTCTTCTCTGAATTGCTTTTGTGATTAAGGTGGATTTTGAAAAATTGACTTAAGTCTAGTATTTGGAAATCAATAGGACCAAGGATCAGGAGGATTTGTTCCCTTGCTTGTTTAGGGTTAGCAAGTCTGTACCTATTAGCCTTGTTATATGGGTTGGAATATATGAAATTTTGACCAGTCAGGAGAACATTCATCCTACAAAAACTTAAACTTGTGTAATTTGTAATTAGAATTCTGAATGCTGATTCATGTATTCTGTACTGAATCCTAAAAATATGGCAAAGCACATAATTCTGTTTAAAAATAGTAAACTTAAGGAAGATATTAATATATAGCTTTGAAACGGTTTGTCTAAAGCTTCTTTTGTTGACTATCCTTCCACTAGAAGGAAAGTTAATAAACATTTAGATGACTACTGTTTATGGGTTCAGCTGCTTTTGTCTCTTTACGGTGAAAACAACATTTAGGATAGATGCAGTAAATTTGTAGAAATGTACTTCACATCCTTCCAAAAAATGTTACCAAATTGGTGTTGGAAAATAATGAAATTAGGAGAAAAGCATACATTTTATAAGAAAATGGCATCACAATTTGAAAAACAGTRATAGTGAAAGCCCTATTTTGCTTTGATGGCCAAAGCAAAAGGGAGCTGAAGGAAGTTTTATTTTCAGAAGAAGTAAGCAGTAAATAAGGATAGGGAACTTTACTACAACTACTACTGTACTTTAGATGCTGCCTAATCATATACAATTATGCACGTATGTATTTCTGATTTAAGAGTGCAGTACTGTAAAATGCCTCCCCATCAATCCTTCCGTGTCTTTTCGGCATTAATAAAGTTATGAACCAAATTTAGTTAATGATCAATGAAGTATATGTCCAAAGAGAATATATAAATTACTTTTTTTTCTGAAAAGTAAACCAAGCTGATATACTTCAAGCATCATAGTAAATTGCAGGAGAGGGAGTTATTGCCCCATTTAGATCCTACATCCACTGTTTTGCAGTGACCCCCTAAAAAAAAAAAAAAGAAAAAAGTTTCCAGGCGATGATTGTCACTCATATTAGGATAGTCTGGGATACCATGAATAAAAACAGAAGTAAAACTGCTACTACAACTCATGTTTCACTTCTACTTATTGGGTGATTTTATGAAAGGATTTAATTTTCTAAACTAGCAAATGTAGTTCTTAAATGTGCCTTGACTCTGGTCCTCGTGTCTTCTCCGAGCTGGTCTGGTTCGGGTCCTCTCCCTTTTGCGAATTCAAAGTTTCTGCCTTGGCTTTCTGCTCAGGCGTTGCAGAGGGAGGCAGCTGCCTCCTCTGGGAGCTGGGTCGGCCTCATCCGCTTGAGGTTGATCARGAATATCCGTCATTCCCTGGCTCTTGCTGCTCGGTCTTTGTCCGTTTTCTGAGAGAGTGCATAGAAATCGCTGCTCTCTATCCCGAACACAGGGGCCGAGTGTCTGAGTGCAAGCAAAAGGGTAGAGGAACAGCAGCGTTACGTGGTCCGGGTCAGAATCCGACCTTCCCAGGTTGTCGGTGTGAAATAAAGATAGGAGAGGCTTTGCTTTAAATTTATTTCTAAGGAAGCATAGCTCTCAATCCTAGTTTCCTGCAAATAGGATTGGGTGTTGTTTTATTATTCATTTGTTTTTACTGGAATGCCGAATTTAAACTGGAGCTGTACTAAATTAAAATGTGTTTTTTTTTTTTTTTTGTATATAAAGTAGGGGCAACTGCAAGCAAAAATATATTTCCTGCCAGCTTAAGCAGCTAATTCAGATCCGTGTTGAGSGCAATGCCTGTGTTTGCCTTTCAAAACCTGTATGTTGTGCGTGTGCCTCGGGAGCAAAAGTTTGCTTGGATGTTTAAAGGTGCCTGGGGAATTGAAATGTTCAACATTCATTTGAATTAATGGGACTTGCAGATGTAACCTTCTGAAATGTTTCTGCAAATCTCAGTCCTGTTTTTTGACGTGCCATTTCTTTYGATAATTAATTGTTGAGTTCTTGCCATAATTCGCTCTGAATGAAAGTTCGTACTGTTCTCTTTCTGGTTTCTTGAATAAATATAAGCATTGTGGGGGAAATCTCTGATAGGAAATTCAGAGMCTTGAAGTTAAACGTGTTACCCCCACACTACGATGGAAAGGGATTATTTCTTGTGTTTTCCCTGCTTTCTGCATGTTTTCTGGAACAGCTTGTTTCCTGGCCTGCAGGGACAAAAGTGAACCCAGTGTAGAGTGGCTATTTCTGGCGCTAACACTGTGGCAAGTTTAGTTTTGCTASGAATAAAGTTTCTGAAGGAAAGCCGAAAGCAGCTCTTGTTGCAAGGAAGGAAAAGATGCTGCGTTTGCCCAAGAAGGCCGCAGGCGAACAAGCCCTCGACTCCAGTTGTATCAGCCCTTGATTCAGTGCATGGTTTTCATGGGGTAAGGAGATTTCTGTAGGGAATTTTGCAGTYGGGATGAAAAAACATGTCAAATCTTGTTGAGTTGAAAGGCAGAGAAAGGAATATGAGGCGCATAATTCTGAACTCCCACTGTGCTGAAAAGATGTAGATTAATTTAGTTCTGAGTATTGTCCAAGTTTCATAGATCTATTGACTATATCTGCATTGATCCATCTCAGCATAGCTCATCTGTATGCACCCTCCTTGTCAGAGGCCGTGGGGTAACTGGTTTTGGAGGCTGACTTAGAAGCTACTTCTACATGCAGAAATCAATGTAATACTTGACATGAATACTGATACCCTGTAAAGTGTGTGTAAATATGGTCCTGACATGGAGCATAAGCGTGTAGAAAGTAATAAAACTTGAAACAATAAAGACCTTTTGTTTGGTGGCGTTTTTTTGGTTTTTTTTTTTTCAGAAGTGTGTATTTTTTAATATTCAAGTRTATTTTCACTTCAAAACATTTTATTTCCAGGCTTTATGATTTTCCAAGTAGTAAGTATTGTGTGGTAGTGATTATTGCTAAATAGAATGAACCTGCCTTTTTTATTCCTTGCTTTCTTGTGTTGAGAGATTTTTCTGGTGTAACTGCACAGAGCACTGGAATTGGATTATCACAACCTTCCCCAAATTTCCAAGCCAAGAGTTCAAATTAGACAGAAAATACCTGGCACCCTGTTTACTTTCTGCAGGTAGGATAAAAATAACCCTCAATATGTATTCCTGATTTTCCTGGGAATGCTATTTCAGGAAAGATATGTTACATTCAGAAGGAAGAGTCAGAAATTGTATACCACCCTCCTTGTAAATATTTCTAAATATGTTTATCTGCTGACTTAGGAGGAAGACACACATCTGGACATGTTCCTCTTGCTGAAAAATGTTGGTCTGATCCAATCTGGAAGTGACAACAACACCTGAACTGTGTGATGGGATGTAACAAAACATACCTAGAATTTTGGATGCTGCAGCTCTTGATACGGATGTCAGGTATTTCCAGAGAATTGTTTGTGATCAGGGCACCAAAGTGGAAAATTTTTATATATATATATATATATAAATATATAAATTTTATATATAAATAAATATATATATATATATATATATATATATATATATAAAAATACACACACACATTGAGTATATTTACACATTGAGTATATTGGAATGATGAATTGAATATATGTGAAAAATAATTTGCATGCTGAGAATACAATATTATCACTTAATTATTGCTGGCTACCTAAAAACAGGTCATTTTATTGCTGAAAATACATTGATTTTTTGATTAGATAAAAGCCTTGTTAAATAGAAAGGTAAAAATGTCTATACTGGTAGATGGTAGAGATTTTGGATCCTTGATTTTATATAAGGGGACAACGGTCGCTGTAGGCCGAGCAGCTGCACCCTGTTCCACTTTGTGGAATGGAAGGGAGAGCAGGAAGCAGCTCCCGCTCGCACCTCCGCGGAGGAGGCTGAAAAGCAGCCCGGAGCTCCCTGGCTGTTATAGAGACGGTGCAGCCGCAGGAYGGGTTGGGAAGGCTCCTCGTAGGGGAACCCACTGTCTGCATCCCCTGTCAGCGTAGGCTGCTTTGTGACTAAATCACTGATGACAGTTTAGAATACCAAACCATTCTTCCTGCATGGAATTGTCTCCCTGAGATGTCCGTGGTATGATAAAATAATTCATTTGAATAACATCTTCCATGGGGACTCTCATATCTGTGTGTGCCTTGTTAAATTCCTATTATGGGTTTTCAGCAGATGTCTTAATTAGATGTGTCATTATTAAAGAGATGATGAGGTGGATTAAATCTAGCTCCTCTTTCAGCTTTTGAAATGTACGGAAGTAAACGAAAAGGCTTGATTTGGCACGAGCAAACTACAAAATATAYCTGTCACAGTCAAAATAGAAAAATTCAGGTAAACTAGGCTGTAAATAATGGTTTACATACAGGTCTGATAATCCAAGGTGCCTTAATTTAGTAGATATCTAACTTGCTCACATAGTTTCTCAAATCCAAATTTAAAGTTTCTGGGACATTGAGATTTAGTTCCGCAATGAGAAATAATCTCCATGTTTAGATTGCAGGATAGTTCATACCTCCTGTACTCTACTTTTTTTCCTGTGTTCAATATATATATATATATATATTTTTTTTCTGTTGGATTATACTGCGTGTTTGGAATATACCTTTCTTACCATAAAAGCATATTAATATAGCAGTTTTTATAAATACTTCTACAAAGAGGCAATAAGAAAAACAAAGGGGGAAAAAAAAAAAACAGGCTTTGATTTATTAGCTGTCCTCACTGTGTAATCAAGAGAAAAGCCAGGAACTTCATTGCAACCACAATATAGCCAGAAACTGCTGAAAACCTGAGCTGTAAATGGCACAAGTGTTTAGAGATTAACAAAGAATATCAAAACAGTTTCTGGGATAGCTTGTATGATAGGGAATGGAGAAAGGAGAAATAAACATGACCTCAGAAGWGCTTATTACAGTTTCTGATTTTTAGAAGCTGTAAATACATTTCTAAGRAGATTTTATCCAGGTGTCTAGACCTGGTTCTGGTATTGCTGACCAGAATGGGGATAATGTAGTTCTTCCTATTTCCTCCAGATAGGAAGGATTATTAAAAAAAAGAGAGAAATCTTCTTTAAACTTCAACCATAAGAGGGGACAAATTGGGTTACAAATGGAACAATTTATCCTGACAAAATATACAACATTTAATACTGAAAGAATAGGAGTTGAGCATTAGTGTTAAATGCTGCATGCAATATAGAGKGTGGTACTGGATCATTCAGTATCTACTCTGTACAATATATAAGCATGTGTCAGCCCAGAACCCCTTGTTTCATATCTCTAGCTCCCTGCTATATGTTTTACTCCCATGAGCCTGTGAAATTGGGCATACGGCTCATGTGTCTGGATGCAAAGMGATATATTTGAGCTATACTCCCAAAATGGAAATGCCCCTGTTCAATTCATCTGCAAGCCCTCTGAAGGCAGTTAGCTGAACTTAGCACACCTCACTGTTRAGCCATAATACTTACATTTAGTCACTCTTTAACAAATTAAAGTACATTGTAGATCTCCAAAGTGTCATGCCAATAATTTATCTAGCTAGAAATACTTTCGTTATCCATCAAGACGTGATGGCAGCTTTTAAAATTAGAACCATTAGAATATCCTACAAGTTTCCCTTCATACATTCCTTTCCTGTTGCCTCACCCATTCATTTTTATGTCTCAGAAATTAGATGTTCAACTGATTTGTCATAGCCTTATCATTAAATGTGATTGTCTGTGGTAAAATTAATCTTCCTATTATCCCTGCAACAGAGCCTTATTTGTTGGATCTGCTATCAGCCCTATATATTGATGCTAAAACAGTAYTTATATACTGTGGACAGTAAGGAACACATGGTTATAGACATTTAAATCAAAGGCATGATGATTTCTAACTGTCTGAATCTTTAGCAATATGTTAAATATAATCAGTCATCTAAAAGTATCTTGTAGAAAAATATATAGAAATAGAAAGTTCCTTAGGATTTTTGTGAATCACTTGAATTGATTAAGACATAGTATTAGTCTACAAATACCTTTATTTTCAAGAGAATTTCACTTTCTAAGACTATTGTTGAATCAGGAACTTTAATCACTAGTGTATAATTAAATACTTATGTGGAAATTYTTTTTTCTTTTTTCTTTTTTTRAAGGTTTGTTTGCAACCGTTAAGTGTCACAGGGGACTTCCAGTGACCAGACAGTTTTGTCTCTTAYCTGCATTTTTGCAGAATTGTTACCTTCAATATGTGCTCTTTCTTTGTTATATACGTTCAACAACAACAGCATATACCACGACAGTCTTTGTTATATACATATAATTCTGCATAATTTACTGRATTTGGGAATGCAGTAGCTCAGAGCTGGGTGAACTAAACTGCTTGTACAGTTCTGTGCTAGTACCAGTTGTTGCTCATGGTTCAGCAGAGTAATGTTTACAATGAAATTATTACTTTTATTTAGCTCTTCTGTGAAAGAAAYGGCAATTTCTAGAACTAGAACAAGTTCTAGTAAAAATTCATTAAAAATTCAGTGACAGGTGCATTAAATTAGCTGATATAAATAATGCGGACTTGTGGCAACATGTTTGTCAGCCAAAACTGATACAGATATTAATTTGAGAAAGATTTATAGGGGAATAASCAAAATAAATATCTTTATTACGACTTTCTGAAAATTAGATGTCAGATGCCAGCCACAAACCACRTCCAGCAAAATTCTCCATGTTGTTTTGTATCTAAATTTAATTGGGAGAAAATCAGAGGGAGAAGTTCCTTGTCTTTTCTGTAAGCAGCCTTGCACAAAGCTCAGGTATTTGGCCTCTGTTCTTTAACAGCTAGGTTTTGGATTCTCTTCAATTTATACACAATTTACGTGACAGTGGAGCCRGAGTGGAGTAAGTTCCATGTATTTTGCGCTGTTTATTCAAAAATCCTTCCATAAAAAAACTTCATTCTTTTCTGTTAAGCTGCCATTACCAATTTATGTTATGTTCAGTAGATGTACAAAGGATGATCACACCTATTTTCATTTATGACCTAATAGCTTTCTAATTTGTCATCATTTTAGCGGTAACAGTGATTCATTTAAGAAAATGAAATCAGCTTCTACAAAATACTTTTAGTGGGCCTGCAACCCAGATGCAGTTCAGTCTTTGTATAAGGCTGAAACTTAGATCTACTTCATGAAAATTACTTGTCTTGAGCCAAGGAGACATAATTTTGGCATTTTCATATGAAGACAAAGGCAGTTTGAATATGTGAGAGTAATTGTTCAAAATAGTTTCACTCTGAAACTGAAACTCTAAACTCTGAAGTTTCACAACAAGGTAAGTTTCATTGTGAAAATAAAGGACAGTTCATGGGTCTGGTAATTCTGGGATTCTTCCAAGCCTGAATTTAGCTGAAATTTGAGCACTGTGATTTCAGCAGATTAAGCAATGAAGAGTGTTTTCTCACAAGTCTTACTGAGTGAAAGCTGGTTTTTTTTTTTTTTTTTTTTTTTTTTTGATACCTGCTACAGAACCTTTATTTTAGAGAAGCATTATTATTAACTATAATTCTGTCCCTTCAAGACAAATGTCTTGAAGGTAGGACAAGGTCATACCTTCATATTTGGAAGCTATATGTGTTTTCTTAGCAACTTCACTTCCAAGGATCAATTTTTTCTTGGCCTATGTCCATGTAGGAGYAGAAAGCTAAGTTTATCGAACAAGAGTTGCAAGGAAGAAATYTTGCTAATTTTTCTTATATTGTGCAAATGTGACAAGGAGAAAGCAAGGAGGAAAGCAAAATAGTTTCTTAGCTGAAAATCAAGCCCATAGCCCGTTCTAAAACAAGGTATTTTTGTTTTGCTTTTTGAGTAACATTTATGTTACTCTTGTAACATTTTGATCACGTTATCAGTTTAAGTCACGTTATCAGTTTACTCTTCCCAGTTTGGGGTTACAAGTATGTAATTCCTAGGATSTCTGATTATTGTGATGATGGAATTGAGCTGTTTGGTTGCTTTTCAAGCACTGTTTCCTGTAAGTATAGCACTGTAGTTAAAGGATTGCCTGTTATCATTGGCTTACAGTTCTTGGCTTTAAAGGATTTTCACTGGATAGAAAATGGAAAATCTGTGTATAGTTTTTTAGTAGGAATTAACAGTGCAGCTATATTTATGTAAATTTTATGGATTTAGAACAATCTCATGGAGTAAAACAAATATATCTGATAAGAAAACTTTACTAGAAAAGAATGCTCTATCTCTTGCCTCTTGTTGATTGATAATAGAACACTTTTATGTTCTGAATTCTCATCACTGAGCTATTATTTTGACAGGTCCTAGATGAAGTACATTCTAGATATTTTTCCTTTAAGAAAGTAACTTACAAGAAACAGTTTTATTCTTTGCCTTGCTTATAAGTTTTA